GCTTATACCCTCTAATCCAGGCAGCATCCTGGTAAACCTCTTCTGCACCCTCTCCAAAGTCTCCACATCCTTCCTATAATGTGACGACCAGAACTGAATGCAATACTCTAAGCATGGCCTAGCCAAAGTCTTATAAAGCTGCAATATAACATCCTGACTCTTGTACTCAATTTCCCGACCAATGAAGGCAAGTATGCCATATGCCTCCTTTACCGCCCTACCTACTTGTGTGGCCACACAGCTGACCACACCATCCTCCTCAACATCTCCCCACTGTTGTCTCACTGGCTGGCAGTGCGCTTACCTTGTTCCATTCCCAGCCGATGGCTCCTATCGCTGTTCCCACACTGTTACCTCTGAATTTAGCTACTCATTGCCCCTCGATGGCATCTCCCCAAAATACAGCACCATTCTCCACATGTACACAGGCAAAGCCCATCTCTCCCTCCCCACCACCACCTCTCTCCCGATTCCTCCATCATTTGGAAATTGTCTGACTTGACGTGCCATAGCAGATGAAACCTTTTTCGTCTAAAAACTACAAAGACCAAAGTAATTTCCTTTGGTCCCTGCCACAAACTCCAATGCCTTTCATTAGCTACTTCATTATTCTTACTGACAGCGGTCTGTGATGGCACTGGACTGGGCATGTGTATTCTGACGCTGAGGGATGGTTTCTCAGTCCATCATTGTAACAGTTTCCTACTCCCCAGTATGACTCAACTCAGCCCCAGTTTCATTCCACTGGTCCCATAAACCTCATTTAGGTCTTTCTCGCCCCTATTTCAGTGGACCCCTGGCTAGCCTCCCATTGGTCCCTTGTAATGAACATAAACCCTGCTGCCCATCTTCCCTGAACTCTCTATTGGCTTTCGGTTAAGCAATGCCTTGATTCTAAATTCCTATCCTGGTCTTCAAATTCCCAGCTCTGTAATCTCCTCTGGTTCTTTTACCAAGCAAGGTAACGGTGGTCTGCAAATTTTGACCTCCAAAGTGTCCCCAGTTTGAACAGTTTCACAATTGGTCAGTTTGCCTTCAGGTAACAAGGCACCAAACCTTGGAAATTTTTCCTACAACACCACACCACCCCCCCACCCCCGCCCAAAAAAAACCTCTCCGCCTCTCTACCTTCTTCTCCTCTTGAAAGTAGTCTTCTAAACTTAGCTCATTCACTGAGATTGGTCCTTTGCCCTTTGATCTTCTTAGGTGGATCTCACTCACGTTTCATTGGATCTCACAGCGATGGCTTATTGCCACACTAAAGGCCTGACTGACCCCTTGCTGGGAAAGGAAACTGGGGGAGAGCAGGGCCTGGGAGACTTGAGAATGACCTCCTGTGAATCCGCACTGCAGTTTAAAGCAGGCCTCTTGAAGATGAGAGAGAAAAATCTCCTTGCATCCGGTTTCCTCTCTCAAGAGACATAGGAGCAGAATGAGACCATGCGGGCCATTGATTCTGCTCCACCATTCAATCATATCTGATATGTTTCCCAGTCCCATTCTCCTGTCTTCTCCTCGTAACCCTTGATCCCCTTACTAATTGAGAACCTATCTATCTCTGTCTTAAAGACACACAATGACTTGACCTCCACAGCCTTCACCACCCTCTGGCTGAAGAAATTCCTCCCCATCTTGGTTCTAAAGTGTCGTCCCTTCACTCTGAGACTGTGCCCTTGGTTCCTAGTCTCTCCTACCGGTGGAAATAGAAATAGAAATAGGGAGGGTGGTAAAAGAGGCGGGGGAATGGCATTGTTAGTCAGGGCCAGTATAGCAGCTACTGAAGGGCAGTTCAAGAATGATATGTCTACAGAGTCAGTTGGAGTTCGGGTCAGGAACAATAAAGGAGCAGTCACTTTGTTGGGGGTTTTTTACAGACCCCTTAATAGTTGCAGAGAAGTAGAGGAGCGGATTGGGCGGCAGATACTGGAAAGGTGCAGAAGTCACAGGGTTGTAGTCATGGGTGACTTCAACTTTCCAAATGTTGATTGGAAACATTTTAGTTGTAATAGTTTAGATGGAGCGGATTTTGTCCAGTGCGTTCAGGAAGGATTCCTGACACAGTATGTCGATAGACCAACATGAGGAGAGGCCACTTTGGATTTGGTGCTTGGCAATGAACCAGGCCAAGTGTTAGACCTGTTGGTAGGAGAGCATTTTGGTGGTAGCGATCATAACTCTGTTACTTTTACAATAGTCATGGAAAAGGATAGGTACATACAGCAGGGTGAGGTTTATAATTGGGGGAAGGGTAATTATAATTCTGTTAGGCAAGAACTGGGTAAACATAAAATGGGAACAGATGCTGTCAGGGAAGAGCACTATAGAAATGTGGAGATTGTTTAAGGAATGCATACTGCATGTGATCGCTATGTTTGTCCCTAGCAGGCAAGGAAGATGTGGTCGACTAAGGGAGCCTTGGTTCTCGAGAGAGGTCGAACAACTAGTTAAGAGGAAGAAGGATGCTTGTATAAGGTTTAGGAAACAAGGATCAGAAAAGGCTCTAGATGGATACAAATTAGCCAGGAAAGAGCTGAAGAAAGGGCTTAGGAGAGCTATAAGGGAGCATGAGAAAACCTTGGCAGATAGGATCAAGGAAAATGCCAAGGCTTTTTACACATACATGAGGAATAAGAGAATGACCAGAGAAAGGGTAGGGCCAATCAAGGATTGTAAAGGGAATTTGTGCACTGAGCCTAAAGAGATAGGAGAGGTCCTTAATGAATACTTTTCTTCGGTATTCACAACTGAGAGGGACCTAGTTGTAGAGAAGGACAGTGTGAAACAGGCTGGTAGTCTAGAGGAGGTGGATGTTAGTAGGGAAGATGTACTAGGAATTTTGAGGAACTTGAAAATAGATAAATCCCCTGGGCCTGATGGGATTTATCCAAGGATTCTATGCGAAGCGAGGGAAGAGATCGCAGGGCCTTTGGCGATGATCTTTTCGTCCTCACTGTCCACGGGTATAGTGCCAGAAGATTGGAGAGAGGCAAACATCATTCCGTTGTTCAAAAAAGGGAATAGGGATAACCCTGGAAATTACAGGCCAGTTAGTCTTACATCAGTGCTGGGCAAATTATTGGAAAGGGCTCTGAGAGATAGGATTTATGATCACTTGGATAGGCACAGTTTGATTCGTGATAGTCAGTATGGATTTGTGAGGGGTAGATCATGCCTAACAAACCTTACTGAATTCTTTGAAGAGGTGACCAAACACGTGGATGAAGGTAGAGCAGTGGATGTGGTATACATGGGTTTAAGTAAGGCTTTTGGTAAGTTTCCCCATGGTAGGCTCATGCAGAAAATAAGGAGGCATGGGATAGGGGGAAATGTGGCAGATTGGATTCAGAATTGGCTGATCCTTAGAAGACAAAGAGTGGTAGTGGACGGAAAATATTCAACATGGTGCTCAGTTATGAGTGGTGTACCACAAGGATCTGTCCTGGGTCCTCTTCTATTTGTGATGTTTTGTAAATGATTTGGATGTAGGAGTGGAAGGGTGGATTAGTAAGTTTGCGGACGATACGAAGGTGGGTCGAGTTGTGGATAGTGCGGAGGGCTGTTCTAGGTTACAAAGGGACATTGATAGGATGCAGAGCTGGGCTGAGAAGTGGCAGATGGAGTTTAACCCTGAAAAGTGTGAGGTGATTCATTTTGGAAGGATAAACTTGAAAGCAGAATACAGGGTTAACAGAAAGATTCTTGGCAGTGTGGAGGAGCAGAGGGATCTTGGGGTTCATGTTCACAGTTCCCTGAAAGCTGCCACCCAGGTGGATAGAGTTGTTAAGAAGGCGTATGGTGTGTTAGCTTTCATTAATAGAGGGATTGAGTTCAAGAGCCGTGAAGTTATGCTCCAGCTATACAAAACCCTGGTTCAGCCACATCTGGAGTATTGTGTCCAGTTCTGGTCGCCTCATTACAGGAAAGATATGGAAGAATTGGAAAAGGTGTAGGTGAAATTTACCAGGATGTCGCCTGGAATGGAGGGAAGGTCTTACGAGGAAAGGTTGAGAGAGCTATGGCTTCACTCTTTAGAACGATGAAGGATGAGAGGTGACTTGACAGAAGTGTACAAAATGATCAGAGGTATAGATAGAGTGGACAGCCAGAGACCTTTTCCTCGGGTGGAGGTAGCTATTACGAGGGAGCATAGTTTTAAAGTGAGTGAAGGTAGATATAGGGGAGACGCCAGAGGTAGGTTCTTTACTCAGAGAGTGGTTGGGGTATGGACTGCATTGCCGGAGAGGGTAGTGGAGTCGGCCTCATTTGGGGCATTTAAGCGGCAATTAGATAGGCATATGGATGATAGTATAAGGTAGGGATGGATGTTAGATAGACCTTAGGTTGAGGGTAAAAGTTCGGCACAACATCGTGGGCTGAAGGGCCTGTACTGTGCTGTACAGTTCTATGTTCTATGAAACATCTTCTCCACCTAACTCTATGCAGGGCTCTCAGTATTTTGTAAATTTCAATCAGATTCCTCCTCATCCTTCTAAACTCTGTTGAGTACAGACCCAGAGGTCTCAACTGCTCCTCATTCTTGTGAACCCCCTCTGGACACTCTTCAAGGCCAGCACATCCTTCCTTAGATACAGGGCCGAAAACTGCTCTCAATATTCAAAATGTGGTCTGACCAGAGACTTATACAGCCTCAGCCTTGTACTCTAGCCCCTTCAAAATGAATGCCAACATTTCACTTGCCTTCCCAACTGCCAACTGAAGCTTCATGTTGACCTCAAGAGAATCCTGAACTGGGACTCCCAAGTCCCTTTGTGCTTCAGATTTCTGAAGCCTTTCCCCATTTAGAAAGTAGTCTACGCCTCTATTCTTCCTACCAAAGTGCATAACCTCCCACTTTCCCTCATTGTATTCCATCTGCCACTCCCTTGCCCACTTTCCTAGCCTGTCCAAGTCATTCTACAGCCTCCCTGCCTCCTCAACACTACTTGTCCCTGCACATATGTTTGTGTCATCCCTAAATGTGTTGTCCTTTCCTCCTGCAGAACAGTGCCAACCCCTCCTTGGACTTCAGCCGAACACCTCCTGGCCTCCTACCTCTGGATAATATGACTTACTTTGCCACGCACCACACTGATGCCTATAACAGGGTAAGTTGGCACTTTCCTCTCCCTGTTGGCACTGTTTAAAAATTACACTACCACTTGTTTTGCACTGGCTTGCATTTGTGAGGGAACCGATACCTTGAATTGTAGGAGACTGAGTCAGAGGCAGTTAATGCTATGGGGAAGAGAGGGTTATTGATGTGAACTGTGACTGAATGGCATTGCTGCATGGAAATGTTGCTGAGTCTTTTACACACCTTTGGGGAGATAACCGAACTCAGGTGTCCCAACCAGATAAGTGAGTCGAGGTTCCCCTACTCCCACCGAGTCTGCATTTTTGTGACAACATACACTTTTACATCCATATTGTATCCAGGAGCTATGGAGAGTGATGGTAGAGACTCCAATTGCTTGCCATCACCATGACTGACCAGCACTCTGTCCCATTCTGACCAGCTGCTGTTGGTGACACGTTGGAAGCGTTGATATTCAAAATGTGTTGCCATGTTATAAGTGCATCTTTTCTGAACGTCCGGTCCGATATGGGATTCGAAGTTAATGCTCCTGGCTCAGATGTGGGAACACTACCCAGTGTGTGGCAGACCTCTCTATTGGCATCTCACTCAGTGCAATTCTCCATCTTTCCTTTCTTGCTTGGAGCTTAGCCAGAATCCATTCCCACCTTGGTTGGTAAGTGTTAGTTGTTCTCCACGCACCACTAGGGGAGCTTTTGTAATTGGCTCCAACAGTCATAGACTCTTACTGTACATGACCATCCAATGAGTTGGCAAGTATCACTGTGTGTGTGTGTGAGTGTGAGCCTGTGTGTGTGTGTGAGTGTGAGCCTGTGTG